TACACATTAGAAGTTACAGTCTCTCAGAGAATCTCATCATTCTAATATTCACCATTTATATGTATACCATATAGGGGTAGGGGGCGCAAAAGTTCGAGCCTCGGGTGTTTCACATTTCGGAGTTGGGTCTGACTGGCTGACGACGGCTAATAAGCCAGAAATGGCTATTCCAGTACCCCTTGTCTTTGTCGATAATAACATACTGCATATATATATATATATACACCGAGGAGGAACGACAGAGCATGCGGGTAGATTGACACAATACTGTTTTGAGCATAGTGTGCCTTCATTCAGCCAATCATAACCCTGACCAGCAGCTGAGACCAGAAACGAGAGTTCGACAGTCGATTTCGACGATGTCCACCGTGTGCTACACAGCAAGGTGAAGTAGGGACTGTGACTTGCGCGTGAATTAGTCTAAAATGATATTAGACTTTCGAAGCATCTATCGCCCCCCTTCTTCCCACTCCCCACCTGGACCCAGTGTCAAGACACAGTCAAGACGATCGGAGTTGGGGTGAGGGTGCAGGTGACTGGCACGGCTGGGGATGCACCTAGGTGTGCCACCACACTCCCTGGTCCAAACAGCAAATAACCAGGATTTCTCGCCAGCAACAACAATAACACCCCAACAGGGGCCAGAGCGACGAGGATGACTGGACAGCCATGCCCACCACCTATGTACCCAGCGGGAGCGCAAGCGCATCTACCGGCGGGGAACCAGGTGTGGGGGAACTGCTAGCACAAACCAGGCTGCGATGGCCATTGTTTGCTGGTACTGGCATAGCACACGCTTATAGCCCTCTTGACGTGACCGGAAACACAAGCATACGCTCAGACACGCCTGGCGCAGCTGGTCCACCACTGGGGTCATATGCACTTCATTGAACCGAAGTTCATCAGTGCCTCGCCATCTGCCATTTTCTGTCGCTAAACATGGGGTATTAATTCAATCAGGAATGGGCGCCCATCGATCTTTTGGCCTCCCGAAGCAAACAACCTTTGCATGGGTGATAGGCGAGTCACGAACGGGCAACCAACTACCAGACCGAAGTCGATCAAGTCATGATAGCTACGAGGAGGGAAGACAGAGAATGCGAGTATCAATCTACCTACCGCATTTTCTGTCGTCCCTCCTCGCGGCCAGTAGGTTTGTTTCACTCTTCACGGGACGAAATTTAAATTAAAACAGAACAAGAAGGGTGAATCAAACAGACGAGTAAAAGAGTGTTCGTGTGAAAATACAGTCTTGGATTAAGGTCGCAAAATAAGGTATCTTTGATTCGCCAATTCGCCGATATTTCTGCCATTTTATAGGATAAAGATTTGGTCTAAATCAAGCTGTTAAACCTCAATGACAAGATAAAAGTGTCAACCAAAAGAGATTAATTTGCCTTTTGACGTTTCACGGAGCTTGTTTGTCTCAAAATTAACTAGGTGTCAAGGGCACAAATTTGGACAGAAATACAAAGGCTCCGCCGAGCTGCTTGACCCTGAGCTGATCGATTTTTTTCGTTTTTCAGTTCGTCTGTAATTTTACAAACTGTCTGTTTCGCTAGTCATCACCTCGACGGAGGATGGCTGAGCATCTGCGGAAGATGGTTGAACGATTGACTCATGTATTAGCTGAAAGCCCAGACACGCGTGTTTGGCCGATCTTATGCCGCTGCCTGACGCAGCTGCGAGGGGTTCGGCTTGTCAATGGGTCCCAGCTTTCCCTGTGTGTTTGGTTACGCTTAACTCATGAGTTTCTTCCTCAAGCGTAACCATCTTAATCTGAGGCGGCCTGAAGTTAGAATGCCTCACAACTGACTCGTCGTTTCCAGGTGTCGATCCAACCGATGGGCATATTGACCTTTCCCCGGCTTACAAGACTCTGCGGAACTACCCACATCGAAATCATAACCAAACGGTCACAGTGGACTTATGAAGACTATGTTGACTTTTTCGATATCGAACCCATCCGACGAGGCTGGGAAATCGAGTCACCAAATAGGGCAACGCTTTCAGAGTCTTAGCCATCCTCCACCGAGGTGATGACCAACGCAAGAAGACGTTAAAGCCTTCAGCTATTTTTCAAAGTGTCGGAACGTCGGAAGAGGAAGACATCTGATCATCTCAAGACAGATAAATTCGGCGATTAATTTGAATTTTTGTTCTATTTTGTCCATCCAGCTATTAGACAACGCTCAGCCCGCCAAAGTTCCCCGAACTTTCAGCAATCGAGTAAATCTGATCCGGCGAGGCAATACATCCTCTCAAATTATCACGCCAGAATTCCCAACTTTGCTAATATAAGTTGTGGTGTCTGATTGCTGATACTCGGAACAAAGTAGCTTTGTTGCCTGTTTGGGAATACACCGTGTTACTGACTCCATGCGTTTCGTTTTCCCCAACAAGGTAAAAAACTGGGCGTTGAGTCACACACATTTGCTGTCATGACAGCCTCTGATCTGGAGACCTGGTTGCGGGAGATTGTGAATGGCGCCCAGAAACTCCTCACTTCCACTTCTCATCTGTCAATCGCGTGCCGTTGGCGCGGCCTGGAGGCGAGACTGCTGCTGCATCAGGACTACGGCCTAACCCTTGTACCGGCGGCTGGGGTGTTCACGCCCGAGGCCCACACAGTAGACCATTGGACCTTCAGTCAGCTGACAAACCATTCGCCTTCGACGGTCTTCTGGTCCTTTCCCTTCGAACGCCTACGTTCCACTGCGGATGACGGCTGTTCAATCCTCTGGCTGAACTTTGGCAAAGACGGTGAACAGGTAGCTTATTTGAATTCAGTAGTATGTGGTCAAAATTGCATCGTTCGTTTTTTCGCCCTCCCCCTGTACTACTTCTTGGCTTTCGCTAGGAACTCGATCTTCCGGGAGGAGCTAAACCTGTTGTGTTCGTCCTCTTGAATATGCTCTCCACAAAACTCCTGCGTCGAAAAGCCAACACCTACCTAAACGTTGACATTCCACCTTGACGAATGTTTTCATTCCAGGAAAAGCCATTTGTGATAATTTTGTTCTTTTACTACTGGAGGCGCTTCCTATTGCTCAGTCAATTTCTCCCCAGATCCGTCTCGTCCACGCGCTTTTTTTCTTGTGGCGGTGTATACTACTTTCTTCAGATAAAGTCACTTCCTATATTCATGTCTTTTTCAGCGGCTGGCCAATTACAACTGTTTGACCATATCATCCTTTCGGCTGTTCGAGTGAGATATATATGTAAGTGAAGTGAAGAAGAAGGATGGCCGAGAACTGGAACATTTTGCTTATTGTTCTGAGTTTCCGAGTTCGTGCAGGAGTCCATCGTCAGAGGTAGTAGCAGCAACAGAGCCAGGGACAGTTATGAGGTGTGTAAGCTACTTATCGGCCGACGGTGCAAGACTGAAGTTGACTGCGCAGGGGTCTGTATGTCGGAGCCAACGATATGGAATTTTGTGCCATACATCAAGGACGTTTCAGAAGCAACCGAGCGCGTTACTGCGGAGCTAGGTGTTGGAATTGGACACCGCCCATAAGCCATAATGCGCAGAAAGGTCATGAACATTAAAGACCGGTTAAAGCCTGAAGAGCAATCCGGAGTAGTGTATCGCATCCCGTGTCAAAACTGCCGCTGTAAATACACAGGCCAGACTGGACGCAAGCTCGTATCGCGCATACAAGAACAAAAGTTGGCTGTGCGACGAGGCGACACATTATCACAGGTGGCCGCCCACACCTACGAAATGGGTCACGATCTTAAGTTTGCAGCCACCAAAATAGTCGCCCACGCCGGAAACGAAACAAGCCGAGAGTTGATTGAGGCCTGGGGCTTGGATGAGAACCCAGTCAATCGATTTATCGATCTGGCGTCGACGTACAGAACCCTGCGTAGTCACCTCCAGTTTTGCGCTGTCGGTCGATGAGTGGCCTACATGCCCTATAACTGTCCCTTGTTCTGTTGCTGCCACTACCTCTAACGATGAACTCCTGCACGAGTATGAAATCTCAGGACAATAATCAAAATGTTCCGGTGCTCGACCATCCTTCGTCTTCACTTTTACGTACACCTGGAACTCGAACATTTGCCTTCAATCATGTAGGTAAGGCTAACAGTGGTGAACCCATGCCCGCGACACACCAGTGCTTTTCTCACTTTATCAGATCTGACACGCTCGAATCTATCAAGGGATCCTAAGATTCGTGGTTTGGACGGTTGTCAACTGACGGACTACCTCGATTTGCATAGGAGCATTTTAAAATGGCTGCAGGATTGCATCGGCCCCTCCTTAATGTGGGCCTAACGGGGACTTTCACTTATGTGGAGTCCAAGCGGCTCTCAGATCAGCATGGGAAATGCAGTTGGGAACAGGTCGTGTGTGTAACACGCACAGATGGGCTGTTTAAGCTTGCTAACCAGTGCGCCGGTGCTGCTGCCATTCTGTGGCCCCTTCTAAATGTGACCCCTGTGACACTCTCATTGATTTGAGCTACGAGCTGTTCTCACAGAAGCCTGGTAAGTGCTGTAGGGACCTGGCCTTGGTTTGCCATCTTAGGCGGGCTGTTTGACTTCGTTAGCTACTGCGTCCGAGCCATCCTTCGTCCGTCTTAACATTGTCTTGCCATCGAAACCAAGCGGGCGAGGGAGGAGCTAGTGTGGTAAATGCTTTGCAGGTCCGTCCCGCCATAAGTTAAGTCGTTCATAAGTCACCACTACTAGGTCCACCTTCTGTAGCAGTAGTAGACGTCACCGCCTGCGGCGGTCAGGCCTGAAATTTTCAAATAATTATACGACCGAGAATGACTATTACTGCAAGACGTGTGACCATAAAGCGTCCTCTACAAAGTCTACAGTGCTGGCGATCGGATATGCCCTCTATTATCAGTCCGTTTCCACAATCGGAACAAGCTAATTTATTCTTCTGACAGGGTAAAATATCACAAAACTGTTTGAGTAGTAAGTTCGTGTGTCAGGGACGAGGAAAGGGAATGAGAGAATATACAGGGTACATCATGACGCACCTACCTCTCGACAGTCGCAATCCGGTCAGTAGAAGACAAAACTGCCACCAAAGTGGCTGTCACCGACGCCGCCTCGAGACCCAGTTCTAAGAGGCCTGAGCACCGAATATCGTCCATCTTAAGCAAATCCGAGTCATTCCAGGCACCAGCCGGCAACTCTGTGCTCGCGTAACACCCGACATTACGCCAGTACATCCTCAGTCCATTCTGGCTGACGTACTTGCGCCGGCATTTGGGGCAGTAAAAGGGCCTTTTGTAGACGTGCTGGCGTCTGTGCAACATCAGATGGACAAAATGCGTGAATTTCGCCAGACAGAGCTTACAATTGAAGGGTTTCTCACTGCTGTGCAGACGCAGATGTGTCTTCAGGTTGCTTGTGCTGCTGAAACGCTTGTGGCAGACAGCGCGCTGATGCGGCTTCTCGCCAGTGTGTACCAGATGGCGCTTCTAAAGATGCGCTAGCTGAATAAAACCCTCGGAGGAGACTGTGCAGATGAAGGGTCGCTCCCCAGTGTGGGTGCGTATGTGCGCCTTGAGGTTCGGCAACTGGCCGAACGTCTTTTGACAGATATTGCATTCATATTGCATTCGACCGTTTTTCTTGGCCAGCGGGAAGGGTAGTGTTCGGTAGCCTCGAGAGTGATGCGATAGCCTATTTGACCTGACAGTTCCCTCTATGGAAAAGCCTCCCGATACACCTCCCGAGAGGATAGAGTCACTCAACCAAGCGGTCTCAACGTTGGAGAGTTTTTCCTAGCCGGAGAATTTCCTCGGTCTACTTTTGTCGGCAATTGGACTCACCGGCCTTCTCCATTCCGCACGTCGAGAGGGGAACTGAGAGGGGGCAACGAGTCGTCTTCCGTCTTTTGCGCAGTCAGCATCCGCCTCGATTGGGGCGGCAGACGAGGGGAAGGTTCGCGTGGCGGAAAGGATGGGCGGGTGTGGGAGCGGGGGAGGGGGAGGAGGTGGTGATGGTGGTGGTGGTGGTGGTGGTGGTGGTGGTGGATGAAGAACTGGAAGACAGACTCTAGAGGCTGGGCTGAAATTGTCTGAGCGCATATTGAGAAAATGGTGAAACCAGAACCTCCCATCTAAAGTGACCTTCATCGACGCCATCGCCTCAGGACCCCGTCCTAAGAGGCCGGAGCACCGCATGCCGTCCAAGTCAAGCGAGATGCGCAGTCTGGAGGATTGTCATAACTAGATCCGCATGGGAGCTGGAGGACTGAGGGCCAGGCTGCAGTGCCCACGTTGTGCTTGAGCGTGTAGACCGATCCTACAACTCTGTACGTCATTGTCCACGAGTCCACCTCCAGTAGTCTTCATTTTTTGTCATCAGATCCAGGTGGGCGAGGGAGGAGAGAGAGTGCGATATGTGCTCTGCAAGTCAACCGTACTACGCACTAACTCGTGTGCAAGCCCTCGGTACTGGGTCGTTCCACATTTCGTTCGATGGGTTTGGTAAACTTCCCGTTTATTAACATTTTGAACCTGCATGTTTTGGCTGTGGAAAAATCCGTCTATGATCCGGCTTTTCAAATCACGGGAGCTCGAGGCCTTATGAAGTGCCGCAAAGAAGACATTAGCAGTCGACTTTGAAGACAGCATGCTTCAACCTCCATTAAGTACGTTAAAATGATCCCAACTGGGTCACAGTCGAACAGCAATTTAAGGCAAAACGGTATCACATAGATATCAGAGCGAGGTTGGTTATGTTGGGGCGAGCTGCAAAAAAGCTTGGAATATTTTAGAGTAAGAGGATACCATACTAAAAGCACAGGTACTAACCAAATCTGATGGACTTCTGCTTAAAGATTCATAAATAAAAACTTCGCTCTGAGTCCATAGACCTATAATATACTGATCTTCTCATATTTTGCAGTTAATTTTAGAGGAAATTAAAAAGCAACAATTTCTCAATTGGAATACCTACCAGAAAGCAGACAGGGCATTCTGGGGGACCCAATGATGAGCCGAACCCCTCGAAGCTATGACATGCAGCGGCAGAATATCGGCGAAACACGCGTGTATTGGCCTTTACCTGCTACCTGTGCTGTTATTATGGTATCCCCTTACCCTAGCTGTCTGTCGGCGGTCAATGAATATTACGCTGCTAGCTGCTGTGGCTGATGAACTTCGGCTAAAATGTTCATAACAAAACTTCGGTCTGCGTTTATAGACCTACAATACATTGCTCTATTCTAAGTTCGCAGTTAATTTCTAAGGAAATTAAAAAGCAACAACTTGGACAGTTTCTCAGTTAAAGATGGGAGACAAAGAGGTCTGGGATCTATCGGACAGAAGTAGAACACATGCGAGTGCCAAAGAGTGGGCGAAGGTCGGTGACCATATTGAGGATCGTCGCTCGAGGTGTGTTTGGGCATCAGTCAAACTAATGTGACTGTTGCGTGAGAGAAAGAGAGGAGAGAATGAGACGGACTCTGGGGAATTCGTCCCCTTGACTCAACAGCGAGATTCCCACTATAATAAGTTTGACGTGCTTGTATTCAACATGACGTGCGAGAAGTCGTGGCTTGGAGGTCTACCATCTGACGGGATAGCTCGACCATCGTTGTCTGTGCTGCTTGTATGTGCAGTGCCCGACTGGAGGAGTTGGATTCATGTCCGATGACCCCTTACTAATGTGCTTTTTTACGTCACTCTCAGCAAGTGATATTCACGTCTGTATTAGGGACCGGAGCGTGTGTGGCATGCGCAGACGGGCCGCTAAAATTTGTCGCCCGAGCCCAATTCCGGCCGTCTTGACGCTGGTTTTCAACCAGAGCAGGGTGGGCGGGTTGAGTGCGGTAGATGCTGCGCAAGTCACCGGTGTTGCACGAACTCTGCCGCGCACGTGATGGACATCGTCACCTGCGGCGGCCGAACTATTTTGGATGGCGAAAGAACAGAGGTCGGTTACGCTATCCTGGTCCCAAGTGTAAGCCAATGTTGGCATGGCAAGTGAAGTAGGCCGAAGAAGGATGCTGAAATCGTTAGTGGGAAAGTAGTTAAGGCTAAAACGGAGAAGGACAACCAGATGTTTCGGATTAGAGGTAGGGTCAGTTTCAGGGTCTGGGGTGGTGCCAGGCTGAGAATTGAGTTTAGGGTTGGTGTTTGTGTTAAGTTTAAGGGTTCTGGTTAGTGTAAGGATTCAGACTGCGGTTTAGGTTTACGTTTAGTGTTAGGTTTGGGGTTAGGGTTGGTGTCAGGGTAGGGTTGCGGTCAGGGTTAAGGTTAGGATTTGGATTACGGTCGAAGTTAGGGTTTGGTTTAGGGATAGGGTTAGGGTTAGGATTTGGGTCAGAGTTCAGGTTAGGCATAGGATCAGGGCTAGGGTTTTTGTAGGTTTACGGTCAGGTTAAACGTTAAGTTTAGGGTTAACGTTAGGTTAATAATTACTTTCAGGATTAGATTTAATTTTGAGATTATTGCTAGGTTTGCTGTTAGGTCTGAGGTGTTTTTACCCCGCGCGTCCCGTCAGTCAGGTCTTTTTCGAGGAGTCTAGGCTTCCTTCAGTCTCCCGGTAGATTTGTCCTACATCGGGTTGCCTTCTCAGTTTCAGCCCGAGCAACTTTTCCACTAATGATTTCATTATTCCCTTTGGCTTCCTTTATTTTCAATGCCCACATTGCGTTTACATTTGGCACCAGAACAGTGTAAGCGATCCTTGCTGGCAAAAAGTATCCGACGCAGTGCATCTCAGTGAGTCCTGAGTCGAACAAGGTGCGAGTGTGGAGTTCTACTCTGCTTAATTCTACGAAGTAACATTAGCGTCAGCACATGTCGGATGCTTGAAGATTTATAGGTACATTCAAAGGAACAAAAACCGCCTGACGGCTGACTAGTATTCATCGTGCAGGAGTAATGGAAAGGTTTACATCCTGGAGAGAGAAAAATGCTCTCTGAAGGTGGTAAGAATGGAAGATGATATGGGGCTACTGGGACAACGATAAAGCGCTGAACTCGAGGCTTTAAATTCCGTCGATATTATTCACCCCGTATTTCAAGGGCATGATGTTCGTGATTAGATTTCCCAAAAGGCATGTTGATTTAAAAGAAGTGAATGGCAAGCAATACAACAGTTTTTTGGTAGCGAGGTGATCATCGTTTGTTAAGAGCAGTTCACTATCCCCACTCCTCCCTCGTTAAAATTCTTAATACACAGATTAATCCATTTGCGCTCCAAGGGACTTCGGTCCTGACGTCTTCCCAAATCATGACAACTTTTGCTAGCAAGAGCGAGTTTTGGTTTATTTTTCGGGGTAATGGACCAAGCCTATGAAAACCCTACTGTTTACCCCCCGGTGTGTTATATACAGTTGTACATGCACTCTTAAAATTTGTCACCATTGAAATAGTATTCATGTAATGTAAGTAGCACTGTTTTTACACCGATACATGCGAAGATGCGAGCTCCAGGAACTACTTGATAAGAAGTGGAAGCGATCAAGTTTACTTCTTTTCAGTATTGTTTTTAAACAAAACGTCCAGATTTGACGTGGTATTTAGTTCAGGTCAAGTGTCGGTGAAAAACAAGGGGCGCATTTAGTCATCCGGGCGTTTTTAAGGAGCTGCATGGATGTCGCTCCACAGCTGATTGTCGGAGATTGTTCCACTATTCCACCACCCTTTGCGCAAAGGATCTGGGTAGAAGATGCAGCATGAACATATTTGCGCGTAGCTTTGTTGAGTGTCTATGAAGGTGAGATGAAAGGCGCCACCGAAACATGTCCTCAAAACGCAGTCCTTGTTCAAGGACATATGCTATCTCCTAAACTAAGACCATCCTATTGTTGCCTGTATCCTAGGGGGAGTAGATGAAGGCACTCTCGTCTTCCAAGATAGGATCAACATTTTTAAACCTTTTACTGGCTTGATTAAACAACGTTGCACTTGCACTAAACGCATTCTATTCTTTGTGAGTCATGGCCGCCTAGTCTTTATGCCATATTTTAGTAAAGGTCAAAACGAAGATGGCGTAAACTTTCCCAGGAAAGTCTTTGTCGAAAACTACAAAAGTCAATTCGGTTCATAAATTCCATCAAAAATAATCAAGTGACTTTCTGTATCTTAGGGTGGCGGGGACTGCCGCCTTTGGCAATATAGTCGCGGAAGTCAGATATTTATGCATGTCAGTGGCTATCGGAGAACCCCTCACAACCATCTTCTTTCCAACATGCGTTCCATGCCTTAGTGGTACAAAATTAGCCCACCCCCCCCCCCAAACGGGCCACGTGGTAGATGCGCCGGACCAACGCGGGGGCCATATCGGACTCTGGCAGGCGTTATCGGAATGCGAACCATAAAAATTCAACATTTCGGCGTCCGGTGGCAGACCCAGTTGCCGGCAGACATCGCGCACACTGAGACCCCTACCGCCTTCCCTCCCATTGTTGTTGTTGATCAAAAACCCGGTCATTTGTTGTGTGGACGAGGGGTGTGGAATTCAGAGTCAAGGTGCGGGCTCGACCGTGCCATCCACTTGCGCCATCCTCCGCCTCCGATCTTATTGACTCTGTCTTGACACTAGATTCAGATGGGGTAGGTGGAACGAGTGTGGTAGATGCTGTGCAGGTCCACATTCACTATAAACTAAATCACACAAAAGTCACCGTTCCTGCTCTCACCTTGCTGCGGGGCACATGGTAGACATCGCCAGCAACGACGGTCGAGCTGTCGGTAGGACATCAATTCGAAATTTCTTAAAAAAACGGAAGAGTTTGCCCATTACAGTGACAGACGCCTAAACCACTTTCAGCGTATGAGAAACAGGGTATTAATGACCACTGTCCGTTACGTACAAACAAAATTAAGGGCTGGAGAAGATTCACTGTGCCCGCAAACGACAAAGAATATGACTAACGCCAGGGAAACTGACATTTCTTTCACTAATCCTGTTGCGCAGTCTTTTGTCAATCCTTGGTGGGCAGCTTGAACTCATTTTTGGATGCTGTTCTTATAGGTGGTGTCCTTGGTCTGTCAAAGATATTAACTTTGACAGAGGGCACAAAAGAAATGCTCCCCATGGTCAAAATTATACTCCGCCGGATGGGACTTAA